GCCTACAAGGCTATTTTCTCCTCCTACCCCTGGGCAGAAATCTGTCACAGAAACAAACTGGTCTCATCTGTGTCCAGCTGGTTTTCTTGGCACACATCCCCCACCCTCTGAATGGGCCCAGATGAGCTCACTTATGCCGGTGACTGGCCCATGACTCCCCGAGCCCCACCACCCACCCAGGCTTCTGCTTCCACCTGCCCCCCTTGGTATTTTACTAGTCATCTCCACTTTTCTAACTTTATCACCAAAGAAGTCAGAGAAATGAATAAGGCTATTCAAAAGACACAAACTCAGTAGATTAAAAATGTTATGGAATATAGGAATTCACTTCTCTATCACATCCAATTCATTTATTTGTCAAGTATTCATTGAGGTATAATTTTGTGCCAGGCACTAAGTTGGGTACCGGGGGAAAATTTAAAATGAGAGGGTCTACTGGGAAAGATGAACAAATAAACAATCAGTCTGATAAGGTACACAGGCTGTCAAAAGACCTCAGAGGGTCTCCAATCCGCATGGGGGTGGGAATAGAGAAGGCACGTCAGTGAAATAGGTGCCTTTGACACATCAAAAACTTTCTATTTCGAAAGGTAGGTTGGGGAGGAGAAGGTGAAAGACAGCTGAGGGGACAGCATGGGCAAAGGTGCCAAATGTGGGAGGGCAGAAAAGACTTCCAGCAACATCAAGTGAAACTGGACAAGTCAAAGGAACTAAAATAATGCAGCCTGAAAAGCAGTATGATCATTTCTGCATCTGCTCCAGAGAAACCTGACAAGTGTGATTAGTATAATACTTAAGAGAACATCACATGCTCCTGTGTATGAGAATGCAAGAGGGAAGCTCCTGTGTATGAGAATGCAAGAGGGAATTATTTCTAACAGTTTTTAAGCTCAGCAACAACAGGGGACGCAGAGGCCACATGTGCTTAAACTTTATTTTGATGATACAGAGATGTTACATATAATCAGCCTATGAAGTATAGAGGTGGTTTACAAAGGATAAACCTTCACTGTTTGGAGAGGACAGATCAGACAACTTTTTATGATATTAAAAAAAATCATAGGGGAATAAGGAGGTGTAAGAGAGAAAGAAAAAGGGAGAACACATTGAGGATTGTCCAATCTAACTATGAAGTCACAAGGCACAGCCAGTGTATTCAAACAGCTCACTGTTTTTTGATCAATGTGTGCCACTTTACAAAATACCCACAAATCCCAAACCAGCTTCTCTCATTCTCTCTGCACTAGTTAGCATTAACCCCAAAATATTTAGGAATCAATGATCTCATGATTTATTTTCTATTTTGCTCTTATGTTAAAATTATTTGGCTGAGTGTTCCTCTTCAGGGTTTCTGCTCAAGACTTTACTTAATGGTAGCTTACAAAGAATCTGGGTTAAAAACAGTTGCTGATCCAAGGAGAAGAAGAAATACATTTCCTTGATTTGATTCTTAGTTCCTTCTCAAATATATTGTTTCTTTCTCCTTCCTAGGAGAACCACTTTTGTCTTAGTCACACAAAATGAGTCATTTTTGCAGTTTGAATTCCCTTCACATGCATCTTACAATAATACTAAAATCAACTCACAGTAAGTATAGTGCCCTTTGCAGGAAAAGAGCTATAACTTAACCATTCAAATATAATCACTACCTTATGTGGGGCTCACTGAATTTCAGCATTGAAAAGCACTCTAAACTTCTTCTTAGCCAGTACTAGAGTATACAGGAACAAAAGGAGAAGCAAAACTGATCCAGGATGAATGATACCAGGAAACAAACAAGGAGACCAATTATGGTCTCAATATGATGACATAAAAAACTCAAGTTAGTCAATAAATATTTGTGTGCCTCTTGTATACCTGGCACTTTTTTAGGCACTTGGGATACATCACTAACAAAGATAAAGATCCTAGCTTTTGCTTTGGAGAAGGGAAAAGGCAGCAGAATCTGGAAAGGACAGACAATAAAGAATAGACATAATATGAAGTAAATTATATAGTGCAAATTACTTAATAATAAGATGGATAAGTGTTACAGAGAAATAAAAGAAAAAGCAGTCCAGGGCCAGTAATTAAAGAGGGAAGAGGAAAGAGAGAATAGTTACTATCTGAACTAGAGTGATCGGAGCAGGCCTCTACTAAAAAGGCAGAGATTTGAAATGTGGATGGTACAGCCCTTTAGGAGTTGCAGAATACCTCAACAAGCTACTCTGACTCCTGCCTTGGTTTCCCCATTTTTAGAACTGAAATCATAATTCTCTTCAAATAAGGGTGTTATGTACTTAAGATAAGACTAGTATTTTAAGCAACATTTTAGTCTCTTGAAGTAGGGGGAGCTCTGGAGGGAGGAGCAAGGACAATGGTAATGCATTACGAAAAGGACTCGGTGAAAGAAAATCAATTCCAGGCACTATTTCCCTATATGGAAATAAAGTTAATACTTTTCAAACTCCACCTGGAATATAACAATATTGAGCATAAAATCTCACAAATTGTGTAAATATATATTCACAATGCTACTGCATCATCTGTTGTTTCAAATTCTTCTTTTAATTTCCTTTTATGCATTGTCCAAGCTGATGTCATCTGTTTTAGACCATGGGATCTCCAAAAGGCAAGAACTAGTCTGCTAAACTATTTTTAAATGTTTGTATGATGCCATACATTGGCTGATACGTAACAAACTATTTAATCATAATTAGAAGTGTGTCCTTTATCTTATGACATGAACCTACTTTTTTTTTAACCTAAACACCTCAAAGCATTTAACAAAATGTCTCACACATTGTCAAAGCACTTTCACAGGCAGACACGCAATGCAGAGTGATGCAACAAGATTCACAGAGCACAGGCTTTGGAAATAACCTGCTGGGCTTCAGGGCACAGTTTAATCACATGTCAGCTGTGAAGTTTTAGGTACATAATTTAACATCTCCGAACTTGAATTACTTAACCTGGGAAAACTCAAAAAATAATACCTATCCCCAAAGTTTTTGTGTAATTGAGCTAATGGATGCAGAAGTACCTGGCATAATGCCCGACTCATAAGAGGCATTAAATAAACATTAGTTTTCTCTTTCCAAATCTCCCCCTCCCGCACAGAACCCTCCATCTCAATCCCTAACACACACGTGCACACACACACTTCATCAGTGAGTAAATAAATGTCTTACTTTAAACTATAAGCAGAGCATAAGAGACAGCCAAGATCTCCTTCCTGTATCCCACTAGCCCTGGCAGCTTCTCAGCTGTGGAATCCCTGGTTATTTCCTTTCTCAAGGAGGAGATCTATTCTGGTTTGACAGATCCTTTCCTGGACACACTCTCAGAATTCCCTGAGGTTCTTATCGTGGCTAATGGATAACAATGCAGAGACTACAGAAGTGAATAATCACTCTCTCCTAGCTAAAAACTTCCTTTATTGACTTCTCTTACTTCCTGTCAGTATTTTGCTGCCAAATCAACCTCTTGTTCCAGGCAACTATTAAAAGTAATTTTCTTGAAACCGAAAAACACATTTAGCCTTCAACAATAAATCACAGTAACCTTAATTACCATCCACTTAGACTATTAGGATATTTGTAAAATTATTTACATTTCTATTTCCTTCTTTAACCCTTAAAATGCAAATATGGGAGTGAAAAAAGATATCTGCTATTCCTTCTACATGATATGTGGATGGCAGTAATATTATGTTAATAAAAATTTATTTAGTGTCTAGAATGGTAACATTATTCTTCATCAAAAGTGAAACTAAAAGCAATATAACTGACAGCTGGTTCTTGTGGCTTATAGTCAAACAAATGGCATAAAGTTTTCTATTCTACCACTGTATCCCAAGCACAGCATAGCGCCTAGGACATAGCCAGCAGGCAACACATTTTTACTAAACAAAATGCATAAATTACCACTTGGTTCTATATGGAGGACCAACATATAACTTTCAATCCCCAAAAGATAAAACACACAATCCCATTATATGTTAACCATACCCACAACACTGGAATATAAGATTCCAATTCCAAAAGAGCAGTTAGAACAACTTTTTGAGGCACTTTTCCTTCTTTTGTTTTTGCTTCTTTTGCTACAGTTTTCCTTCTTTTGTTTTTGCACTAAGGATATCATATAAAAACACAATCTTTGTTGCTTAGTAAGTCATCTGCTCCAGCTGCTTGTGTTCTGCTCCCAATCAAAAATCTCAGTTTTCGCCTCCTCCTCATTTTATAAGGAGTTTAGTTGAATTGGCCAGGCTTGCTCCTTTCTCCATCTCTGCAGAACACTGGACACCAAACTCCCAGATATGACTCCTCTTTCTGCTTCTATCTTGGAGTTAGAAGATACTTTCACAGATTATGCCACACATAATCTATTGGCACTCACTGAAAAGTGCTCACTTTCTAACAGAACATGACCCTCATGCCATTTCCAAAATTTTTCTAGCTTCAAGTCAGGGGAGGTTTACCCCTAACCCTAACCCTAACCCTAACCCTGAGGGTCAGAAGCCCAGGGAAAATCACAAAAGGGTGGGTGGATTTAGGTAATAGGAAAATAATCTATTATTTCATCTGAGGAAAAAGCATATGGTAAAGGTGACTGATCACATTATTATTTTTATTTCAGTTTAAAGTACTTTATTAATCACCATATATATTTTTCAATGTCTAATTCTCATTGTTTTCTTTTCTAATCCATAGACTTATCTATCTCTTTCCCAAAGCTCTCTTGCCCTTATTTCTTATGTTACTCCAAAAAGGACAATAAATAATTTCCTAGCCACTCTTCATAAATCCCAATATGTTAAATTACCCCCTACTCAGTTTATGGACTACATTGGGCCCATAAAACTCCACCCTCACCAGCAACTCACCCTACAAAAAATTCTCACTTCCCCTTTTCCCTGCTGGGAGGGATACTTTCTAAAGGAGCAATTAACCTATACCTACCACCTTGCTTCTGTGCTGGAGGCACAGCCCCCAATCCCAACACACTAGGGGACTACTCACCTGGAAGGCAGTTGCATTCAAAAGTGAAGTCACCAGTCTGCCGGCAGGTGCCCCCGTTGACACAGGGTGAGGGTGCACAGGGCACATAGGGGCTGTCACAGTGCTGGCCTGTGAAGCCCTGGGGGCACTGGCACTGATAGGAACCTGGTAGGTTGAGGCAAGTGCCACCATGCTGGCATTGTCCTGGAATATCACATTCATTGACATCAGTCTCACACTTCTGCCCTGTGAAGCCTGAGAGGCATCTGCAGGAGAACTGGTTGGCCACAGTAGTACAGGTGCTTCCATTTGCACAGGGATGAGACAGACAGGCATCCGTCCATTGGCACAGCTCACCTAAAGAAAGGATAACACAGCTCAGTACTGCCTATAGAAGTGGAAGTAACTCCCTCTTCAGCACCCACAGCCCCTACTCAGTAGGTCACATCAGGAAGTTACTGCATGGAGAATCCCAAAGTTCTCTGAAATTTTCAGGAAGAAGCCCAAATCAGAGCCTCCTCAGGATCATCTGACATAAGCACTCCCCAGGGCCCTCAGCCGAGACACAGGGAGGGGACTTCAGGCTAGTCATGTGAAGCCCAGTTCTGCAGGATTCCATCAGTGCCCACGTCAAATAAGGGTCTAGATCCATCTACTGTCTGCTCCTCCATTTGGGATGCCATCTTCCTTTTTGTTTATGCAGTGATCTCTGTTACTGTTCTCTACTTACCTTGACAACTCTGTGCATAAGTCACCATTGCTATAAAGTGATCCACAATGCCCCCATCAGCTCCCCAAATCTCTCTCTCTCTCCCTCTTTCTCTCTCTCTCTCACACACACACACACACAACACCCCTACACATGTGTACAAACACCCCAAGTTTGCTGATTTCTTTCATTGAATCACCTGCTATACTGGCAGGAGCCAGTTCCCTTTAGTAGGCTCTCAAACCATGTCTTTTGAATGGATGAAATGTATTGGTAGTTTCCACAATATATAGTTACTAAATATACCCCTTAGATGATAGAAACAAGTCAATACTATTTCCATTTTTTTTAAAATGCAACACACATGCTCACATATTCTGTGACACATTTTACTAATTGTGGTCTTGCTATAAATATTGCTTGATTTGTTTGAAGAGGATAAAGAATCTCTGGATCTTTATATATGTAATGAACTAGAAACTGCCATGAAATAAAGGTCTAATAACTCTTGTGGCCTCTCTCAGGTAGAAAAGCACCAGAAGTAGCAGGAAGACTCTCACATGCTGAATCATAAGGCATGACTCCAAGAAATCAAAGCAGATTCTTTGAGGTAAAAACAAAGAAAAATTACTCCCATGCTACTAGTCAATTTGATATTCATGTAGCTTTTTGCTTCATTAGCTTAAGCTTTTTTTAAAACTAAAGATATGAGAGCTCTCTGAATTTTTAACACTCCAGTTGGTTACCTACATAAACATTCAAATATTTGGCTGCCATAGAAAAGCAAGTAAGAGCCATAACAGTTTTTCTAAAAGGAAGGAAGTGACAAATGAGTACAGAGAATGTTCTCTCCCTATCAAGGAATTTCAAACCAAAGAGGAAAGTTGCAATAGAAATCTGGGCACAACACACATAATTTCAGGGTGCTAAGCACAGAAAAAAGTGAAGAACTGAAATTTTTCTTCCTATTTTTTCTTCATTCCACTGAGAGGTACTTACATATAGTGGAGAAGAGATAAAAATGGTTACTTCTGGCAACCGTGTGTATCTGAGTTTTGCCTACAACTGAAACAGAAAGGTCCCTGAACTTGGTCCATTTAGAAGCAACCTATAAGCCCTAATTTCCTGCCTCTGTCTCTCATCTCTGAGTGGAGACAAGCTAATAAGGTCTGACTAGGAAGGGGATAAAGCTATCACAAAACCAAAAGGATGAGCTTGACCTGTGGTGATTCCTAAAGTGACAGACAAAAGCAGCAGATGTATAAAGATGATCAGAACCCTACAGAACACCAAGAAGATCCTTTCAAGGGCAAAGGACGTTTTAATGTGGGTATCACTTCAGAGTAACATTTTAATTATGAAGAAAGCATTACTGCAATTTCGACTAGTCAAAATTAAAATGTTTTAAATGGGTATGCCCTCCCTTGCCTTGCAGAGCAAAACTCAAAACTGACTATCAGAAAAAAATTTTCTCTTAACCACCAAATCTCTTCAAGGACACAGCAGCAATGCTGTCAGAGTCATGATGAAGATAATGGATCATCCTATCTATCCTCTACTCCTACCAACACCTTTTAATGAGAAATCAGAACAAGTATTCCAAACTCACTGACCCAGTCTGGTGTTTTGAATATGTTTTTTATTTCTGTTTATTAGATGTACAGAAATGTTGGTGTATGAGGGATAAAATGGTGAATGGCTCTCCTTTTCTCATCTAACTTAATAAATACTTATGGTCCATTTTGAATAAAACTCAGACCCACCTCCAAAGAACCCATAATTTAGTAAGATGAGAGACATGTAAAAAAATAATTTCAATAAAACATGACACATACAATAATAGAGCACAGAGACTACCTGCCCAAAGGAATCATGAAAGGGTCACTAACACAGAGTTTTAAGTAAAAAGGGCATTCCAGGCAAAGGGGTGTGCAACAGCATGGAGGCAGCAGGAAGCATGATGTTTTCAGGAAATGATGAGAATGTTGGCATGACTAGAGCTAGATGCCTGTGGGGAGATAAGGCTATGAAAAGTTGTGAGACCTGGACTGTAAAGGGCTTAGGCAAGCCATGTACAAGAGTTAGCAGTTTCTTCTGTGGATGATAAAAAGTCAATAGACATTGTAAGAAGGCGGGTTTGTGGAAAAATTTGCATTTATAATTAAAGATGTAGCAATGTGAAAGACACACAAGATGGGGAGAAAGTAAAGGCAAGGAACCTAGTTAGGAAACTGTAGTCTGACAATATGGACCTCAACTATAGAGTAGGAGAGGAAATAGAGAAGAGTAAACAGGTGACACATAATTCAGAGGCTGGGCTGAGTCTAAGTGGGGTAAGGACGAGGAAGAGGGTGTTTCTAGTTTGGAGTACTTGGAGTGTACACTGGTGCCATCTATTTATATCAACATGTTGAGTCTGACATACCTTTTGAATTTCCAAGGATACTATGCAACACAAAGTTAGAAATATGAGCCTGAATGTCAGAGTGGAGGTGGAGTCAAGAGGATGACTGAGAATCACCAGCAACTGATAAAGATAATCACAGCTGAAGCAACTGGACGTAATGAAATTCTCTGGGGGATGCTCAGATACTGCTTAAAAGACAGCTTAAAACAGAGTTCTAAGGAACATAAAAATTTAATGGATGAAGACAAGGCAATACAGAAGCAAAAGGAACCATCAGAGCTCAGAAAACCAGAAAAGTCAGCACCCTGAATGTCCAGGGAGAGATGATTTCACAAAGCAAGTAGTCAATAGCACAAACAGCTTTTCTTCTGGTGAGAATGAAGTAATTCTGATCTCCAATCTTGACATATATAATTTAGGCAATCAAATACTTCTGAGTAGTTTTTTTCTTTCTTTATGCCCTTCCTATAACTCTCAGAAGTAAGTTAAAGATAGTAGTCTGGAACATTCCAGTCCCTTACCATTACTGTTAAATGTGCACCAGAGTTGGGAACGCTTACAAGCTAGATGCTAAAATCTAAGAGATGCTGAATAAAGGTAGCTGCTGAGAATAGGGAAGTATGGGCCCAAATTCCATTTGTTACCTGTAAAACCAACTTGGCAGGTGCACTCATAGGCGTTCCGGCTAAGCACATGGCAGGTGCCTCCATTCAGGCAGGGGTGAGACACAAAGCAGGAGTGAGCGGTAGAGTACTGGCAGTCCTCGCCTGTGAACCCCAGGGCACACCGGCATGTGGCTTTCCCCAACAGGGCCTGGCCCACACATGTCCCACCATTCTGGCAGCGATCCTTTTCACAGGGGTCTCGATGCTGACAATATTCTCCCAAGAAGCCCTCTGGACATCTGTGTGGAAGAGAGAGGAGCCCATGAAAACACTTGACTTCTTTAAGTCCACACACTTATGAGAGAGACAATGCAGTCCACTCAAAAAAATACTAGATGGTGAATTGGGAGACTTGAAAGCACAATCTGTAAAACTGTCTCACTTTACCAGAAGTGCTTAGAGAATGCAGCCAAACACTCCATGTTCTTTTGAGTCTTGGCAGAAGACCAAGCGGATGATCCAGTATGGTGTGCCACGGCCAGTCAGCATGACCCTTATTCAAAGGCAACTCAGTTTTTCTCATGTAGGCACAGGCTGCAGGGTGTAACACTCCATTTTGTGAAGCATTATTGATACTTGTCTGTTTAGATTCATTAATTTTCTCATTTTGACTAAGTCATTTGATATTAAGACATTCATATGATAATTCCAGAACTGAACCTTTTATGCTCTCCAATAATTGAGACTGTGATAAAGAATGAAAAAGAAGGTACAGGAATGAGAAGATTCAAAGTGGTTTTTTTTTTTACTTAACTCTATTAAGATATAAGTAGCAAGGAGCTGTTTTAACCTCCAAAAAAGTACTAAATATAATTAAAATAACATAAAAAATATCTAAGGTACCATATAAACACTGTAGTGAAGAAGGGAAAACAATTCAAGAATAACATTCTATAACACTTTCCACATGGTGTGTTGAAGAATCTTTTCATATGCCAACCACTGATTGCTAAAACACACAACCATCCCAAATTGTGTATATTATTTATGACAATTTTCTCCAAACAGCATAAAAAAAGACATGGAAAGTCATTTTCATAATAAAGAGGTTGTTTTAATGGGACCTCTGAGAAGCATTTAAAAGAAGCACAAACTTTTAAGAACTCTGTAAATTTTACCATTTGGCTGTCACCCTAGATATCTGATTCAACCTATTTCTCCATTTACTTCTTGGAGGACAGAAAATTAAATCAAATCTACAAAGCTGTTTCACCACTACCTTGAAGATAATGCATGTAAACCAAACTGTAAATCTTCCCCCTCAAACCAGCTCCCATCACAGCCTCCTACATCCAATCACTGCAACCTGGTTCTCCCAGTCACCTGAGACTTAAAGCACCAGAGTCATGTTTTACTCCTTCCTGACTGTGCCAATCATATCTAAGACACTTCATTAGCCATTGGCTGGCAAGGCAAGGTCTTTAGAGGTCACAGTTATGAGAACAGAAGGAGGATCAGATGTTAGGGACCCAAGACAGAATATGCCCAGATGAATGACACAGTATAAAATGGCTGGAGGAGGAATCAGAGCTGGTAAGTAGCTACAGTGGCAGTGCTGTAACTGGCCACAGTCTCCTCACACCTCCCAGAGCTATGTACAGCAAGCGTGGCAGAGCCAGAAGCAGCTCGAGCTTCGGACCTCTTCACGAGCAAGTGAAGTGAGAGATCAAGAGACAGTGAGAGGAGGAAACAGCACTGAAACCAAAGACTGGTGGAAGATTCCTTGAGGAGTCGCACCTTATACGGATAAAAGGCCTGTCTGGATGGAGTCTTGGTGCTGCGACCGTGAACTAGTTACTTTATTTCACTGACCATTAGTTCTCTCCCCTTTTAAATAGTTTACAGGGCTACCTATATCATAGGATTATTGTTAGAATTAACAAAATCAAGAAAGTGAAAACCCTTATATCGTACATTAAAAAGTTTTGCAGGTACCAAAGGGAAAGGGACAGAGGAGGATGGGTGGGTAGGGAGTGATAAGGGGGGGGAGAAGAAAGGGGGTATTATGATTAGCATGCATAATGGGGGGGTGGGAGAAAGGGGAGGGCTGTACAACACAGAGAAGACAAGTAGTGATTCTATAACATTTTGCTATGCTGATGGACAGTGACTGTAAAGGGGTTTGTGGGGGGACCTGGTATAGGGGAGAGCCTAGTAAACATAATATTCTTCATGTAATTGTAGATTAATGATAACAAAAAAAAAGGAAAGAAAAGGGGGATTACTCCCTGATAGGATAAAACTAACTGTAAATCAACAATTAACGCATGCTTTAAATATCCTTAATTTTGATCATTTAAAGGGTGTCAGATGATCAGCTATGGAAATACATTTTTCTGATAATAT